TTTGAAAAACAGCAAATGAATGGAAAGGCTATCTCTGAACACTCCTTAACCTGCTTGAAGACAGATGTTCCAAAAGGAACTCAATTGTCATAAATCCCCTCCCAGGATTTTAACCAACCAGGGAAGATTGACTTTTGTCACAGGAGAGGAGATAAGAAGTGAGCACCACATACAGACAAACTGTCACGAACTATCATACCTACAATCTATTCTTCCAAGGGCCCATTTGTATTTCCTAAAAATAATTTACTCTCCCCTAAGTATCCTACATCTCCCCACTTTTCCCTTCTTAAGATAATATATAAGTCCTAGAATCATATAGCTTTTTAAAAATCTTTCTTTTTTATTAAATGATTTTTAGGGAGAGAAAGAGATTTGTTGATCTACTTATTTATGCATTCATTGGTTAATTCTTGTATGTGCCCTGATTGGAGATCGAACCCACAACTTTGGCAAATAAGGTCGATGCTCTAATTAACTGAACTACTCATGGCTGCATCACTTTTTTTGGGTTGTGGACAAAAATGGGGCCACTCACTAAACCTGACAAGCTCAGGGGAGACCTGCAAGGTGGGCCTTACAAACTCAGAGACCTGAAGTAACCATATCAGATGGTCTGAAATTAAAACGTCCTAACTAAAAGCGAGTCACAGAAGGTAGTCATGTCGTAGGTTAGTATCTTTCTTGAGAAAAGTCAGTCTTTAGGTGTAGATGTTTCTTAAAATGACAGGGTATTTACTTTTCTTTTTTTCCATGTGATGCCCTCATATGAGTTCTGTAATATTAAAAATTAATAAATTTTACACCTTTTCTCCTGTTAATCTGCCTGTTGTCAATTTATTTTGTATACCCTGCTATTACACTTAGGAAGATAGAGGGAAAGCCTTTCCTCCCCTACAATACTCTTTTTAAAGAAAGAAACACATTTAAGGAGACTGCGGTGTCTGCAGGAGCACACCACTCCTGCGTGCTTCCCCAGTGCCCTTTCTGCACATACACTGCCATATAAAGTAAGTCATTGTCTGCATCTCAGGTTGTTTGTTCCTCATATGTAATTCAGTGAGCTATTTTCTTTTTTAAATAATCTTACTTAAAATACCACAGTTTGTAGATGAATCCCTATAAAGACACAACTATGGCAAATTGTACTCCCATGAAAAAGAAAGAAAACCATTTTTCTAGCTGATGTGACAACACAGAAGACCTAAAATATTGTGATTATAACTTAGGGACATAAAATACATTTTTCAACTTAAAATTTTGCTCTTTAGGATTGGTATATCTTTCCCTTCTAGCTTAACTTCACCTCTATGGTTATTATCCCCTACTATTCTCCTTTAAATAATCTAGGCATTAGTAAATATTAAATATAAAATATTCTAAAAAATTCTTTAAGCTTATTACTTATTACCCATTCTAGCAGATCCACAGGGTCCAACATATAGATCTTGTTGGTTCTTATTGTTATAAGACCATTTTGCTAATAACTATTATACATCAAATGGTTCAAATCACCCTAAATGTTTTCTGTTTCAGAATATTATCTAAATATTGTCATTTCACAAAACAAATACATTCTCCAAAGTAAATGTTATTAACCTAATTTAGAAATCATAAAGTTGAAAATGATATTGAGACATAACAATAAGCATTTAAAAAATCACAGACCTAAGCTCTTTATTTTCAGTTTTGCCTTAAATATCTTGAAGTTTTAGAAGAAATTACTTGGGTCCTAAAATATTTCAGGAATGCCTGTATTCTTGACCTTCCTTTAGTATAAGAATCAGAAATGGCACCATGTGAATTATAAGATTGAGCTACTTTATGACTAGTGATGGTTTATTTTGTAGATAGGCAGGTAGCATGTCTGCCATAGGCCATAAAAGATGAAGACACGGAAAATGACAACCATAAGCCAAAAGGCATTTCCTATCTTACAGGTCGTGGGTGGCCAGTCAGAAACTTGATATCACTATCCCAGCGCAATATTTCAGTTAAAGCACTCTCATTTTTATGTTACTATTAAGATTATAAATTGCTAATATTATTTTTTCTTGTTAAGCAATTTCAATGCACAACAGCGACTAGAGTGGCATGAAGATTACTTTAAACTGAAACATGTGAACGAACATCAGCCAAAGAAAGAAACAGTATCTAAATTTAAGCAGAGCCTCCCCAAAATACAACTGCCATTAACTCCCCTCAGAGGGAAGGTGACATAGCACCAGGAGGTGAATTCAGTTGCCATCGAGCTCCTCTTTGTGGAAATTCCAGCCAGGAAGGATACTGCACATTATCAACAGGATGAAAGGCCTGATGGAACTTTCCATAAATTCCTACTGAAGCCCTAAAAGGGTCCTCTTTTGTTAAGCTGATGTATAAGCTGTACTCCTGGCTGCTCAGGGGATCACTCCTTGGAGAATGCTTCTGCATGCATGTGAAAGAAACTTTTCTCCTGTTAATCTGGCGGCTGATCGCTAATTTAGAGGCCCCCAATGAAAGAGCATAAATTGGTAAAATTAAAGCTTTGCTCCCAATAGAACCTTAGCTGGAAAAGGTCAGAATGGGGTTTTAGAGTAAATACTTAGGAGTAAAAAAATAATGAACTCTTTTGAGACCAAAGATGGGGGACGAAGTAGGAGGTCACAGGAGTGCAATCAATCACCTCAAACACCATGACATCCATGGGCAGGCAGGGCCATGGTGTTGACTTGGCCACCTCCAATTAAAAACAAAATAACTAATTATAACAAAGACAAAACAAAACAAACTAGTTACCTAATCTTTTGCTCAGAAGAAATTTTCTTTTTAATTTAGTTTGCATTGCTTGAAGCATTAAAACGTACCTCCTTTCTGAATCATCTAATGAGAATTAGGTAAGAGGTTTTAAGATTATGTAATATTCTATTGTCACAGGGTAAATGTAAAATTAAAAAGTAACAAGAGAAGGGACACTTTCCTGAAATATAGCTTCAAAATCTCAAAAATAACCAAGCAGTCCCTTAATAAAGAAGGAGAATTGTAGGGATCTGAAGAGGATAGCCAGGCAGTATTTTTGAACTGCATAGAGCATTGGAACGCACAGCCTCGCTTACTGAATATCCAAGAGGCAAGGACATCCTCTGAAGTACAAATTCATTCAATTTAACTCTGCTCTCTTTTACTTTAAGGCCCAAAATGAATATCAACCATTTTTATTAACTCTGACCCTCACTTTTAAAATACTAAAACCTGCTAGTGCAAAATGCCTCCAAATGTAGTGATATTTATTTTTCAATATATGCATAAGTGTAATGCTGATAAAGTTATAAGCAGCTTAATAAATTATAATAACCTCTATCATTTTTGTAATAAGTTGTGAACTTATATTTTTAACCACTAAAATTAAGAACTTTGCAGTGTTATCTAACAGTTGTGGAAGTAATTATTTACACATTCAGTGTAAATTAACTTTAATGAACAGATACTCTTTCCAATGTGAAAGACCAGCAACTTAGAGAATAAAGAGAGAGAGGGAGCAGACATCCTGAGGTTCTGAGAGCAAGATGTCTTGCCTTTCAAGTTCTTACATGGCTTGGTATCATCTTCCTGAATTTTTTGTTTCTGACCTTCAGCTTTGTCTCCCTCTTCATAACTACTCTTTAGATTCTAAGAATCAGAAAACGTTTAAAAAATATTTCTTATTATTAATATTTTAAATATCTAACAATTTTTAAATAATATACAAATTTTAAGATGGTTAAATATATTTTGAAAATATTTCTGCCCGGCTGAGCGTGGCTCAGGGGTTGAGCATCAACCTAGGATCCAGGAGATGGTGGTTCGATTCCCAGTCAGGGCACATGCCCGGGTTGCAGGCTCCATCCCCAGTTGGGGGCCTGCAGGAGGCAGCTGATCAATGACTTTCTCATCATTGATGTTTCTCTCTCTCTCTTCCTCTCTCTGAAATCAATAAAATACATATTTAAAGAAAAAAAAATTTCTAACTTCAGCTTTATGAGTAGTTACTGGGGAACAATAAGAAGTACAACAGAGTAGGAATTTATAATACAGCTAAGAATATGAAACTAATGAAAATAGGCATCTTTAAAAGGCTTATTAATGCAATAGACTCAGGAGGGATAATCGGTGTGTCTGAGAAGGTTGGGATTAAAGAGGTTAAGGATTTAGGTAAACGGAGTGTGTAAAAGGGTTCATAGGCAGAAAAGTAAAAGTAGAACAAAAGAGACGGAAAAAAGAATGGACCCTGATTTGAGATGCCTGCACGGTTCCAGTGAGGCTGTTGAGCTAAGCCCAAGTGGAGCATCTTCTCAATAATCATGTTCAGTTTGGGGAGGAAAGTGCCTTCTGCTCAACTCGACCGCTTGCTCCACCCCCAACAATTTTTATTTCCTTATTTATAAAAATTACTGTGACAGAGTTTAGCCAAGAACTAAGCATAAAAATCCTAAATTAAATCCTAAATGTCAACTCCCTTGTTAGTCATTAAAGAAGTGAAATAAAATAATTACATATGGTTTAAACGTAAGAACTCAGGAAAGAGATTTAAAAATTTTTTTAAATGTTTTTATTGGTTTGAAAGAGAAAAGAAGGGAGATGGGGAGAGAGAAACATCAATGAACGAGAAACGTCAGTGTAGATTGGCTACCTTTTGCACACCCTGGGGATTGATCCGAGCATGTGCCCTAACTGGGAATCAAACCAGGGGCCTGGCGCATGGGTTGGCACTCAACCACTGAACCACACTCGCCGGGTAAGACTTAAACTTTTAAATATTTAAAAAATTTTTCTCTTGACTCTGCCAGTAACTTGCCGTACGACCTTATTTACTGACCCTCAGGTATTTCATCAGTAAAATGATAGTATCAAACGACATGATTGCTTAGATTCCTTTCTACCCTAAAATTATATTTTATACCTGCCAAACGTTAGACTATCAAGTGTGATTTTTAAAATTTTTCTGTGAGATGTTGAATGACAGCTTTTGAAATCATACTTACATTTTAGCCCACTTATCTAGTTCTTCTTCCAGATACGTTTTAACCATTTTTGGTTGAAGGCCAAGAGAATTTCCCAAGAGATAGATAGCACTTTCATCCTTATCAACTAATGATAAATCAACTGAAATAGAAGAAAATATAGAGAATGCTTATTCAATTAATTCATATTCTTCCATTTGGCAACATCCCGTACAAACAATTAATGGAATTAACTTCAAGAAGGATAATAAATAAATTCAATTCCTTCGAAGGATAACATCAGGTTCTGTGAAGAATAATTTTTTCCATTTATATTTTAAAATATAACTTACACTTATAGAAGCTTTTCTTGAGATCTTTCATATTTATTTTGCTCTATGAGAAAATCTAAATTATTAGTTACTCCCAATCATAAATACCTGAAGGAATTATAAAATATATAAAAACAGTATTTTTAAAGGGAGTTATAGTCAATTATTTGTAGTTAATGCACACTAATAATAATTATTAATATATTGTATATTCTATATTATGTATACTATATGTTATATATATAGTATAATTTCTAGAACAACCGTTAAAACAAACAAAAACACAACTATACAAAGATATAATTCAAAACTTGATATATAACTTAATGCTATACCAAAAAAATCCCCCAAAACAAAACATGATTTAAAAATAGCAAAAAAGGGGGGAAAAAAAACTATAAAAAAACCCTGAAAACAAATAATAAAGTAGTAGATCTACATCTAAACATATCAATAATCACATTAAACATAAATGGTCTAAATGCAGAAATTAAAAGGCAATGATTGCCAGAATAAATTAAAAGTGACTCGACTATATTCTTTGTATAAACATTTTACCTGTACTTTAATTATAATGATATATATTGGAATAACATAAAAGAGTGGAAAACAACATGCCATGAAAACACTGACAAAAATGAAACTTGATCAGTATAGTAATATGAGACAAGGTAGACTGCAGAACAAGCAAATTACCAGGGATAAAGTAGGATATTGCATGATAGTAAATGTATCAATTAAACAAGAAGATGTAACAATTTCAAATGTGAATGCATTTAACAACAGAGTACTAACATGTACAAAGCAAAAACTGAAAAAACTAAAAGGAGAAATGGAAAAACCTACACAGCTATTGTTGAAGACTTCAATGTCCTTTTCTCAATAATTAATATAATAAGTAAATAGAAAATCAGTAAGGATATAGAACTGAAAAACACCATCAAACAAATGAATGTAATTGATATTTATTAAACACTCCAGCAAACAACACAGTAAACATTCTTTTAAATGCACATAAAGAGTTCACCAAGACAGACTATTAAATTGAGTAAAAAAAAAACACAGAGCAAATTTAAAAAAATTGAAACCATACAGTGAATGCTCTGTGGCCATAATAAAATTAAACTAGAGATCAGTAATAAAAAGAAAACTGAAAAAAAAATCTGAATACTTGAAAATAAAACAACATACTTCTAAATAAAACATGGGTCAAAGAAGCCTTTGGAACTTAAGTTTTGGGAGGAGTACTTTGATATGGCACCAAAATCACAATCCATAAAAGAAAAAAATCCATAAAAGAAAAAAATATATTAGGCATTCCATCCCCCAAACTAAAAATCTCTGTTCTGTGAAAGATGCTATTATGAGAATTGAAAGATAAGCTACAGACTTGGAGAAAATATTTTCATATCACTTATTCAGCGAGTGATTTGTGTACTGAGTGTATAAAGAACTCTGAAAAATCAATAGTAAGAAAAACAACCCAATTTAAAAATGGTTAAAAGACTTGAGCAGACATTTTTTAAATGAAAATATGTGGATAGTACACAAATTCAGAAAACAATTAATTCTTAGATTCATTAGCCAATAGGGATATACATATAATTACCAAAATATGATATTACTACATACTTTGTAATGACTAAGAAAAAACAACAAAATATGATGATACCAAGTGCTGGTAATAATGGGGAATAGATACACACAATGCTGATTGCAAGGCAAAGTGGAAAATGGTACAGATACCCTGGAAAACAGACTGACAGCTCCTTATAAGTTAAAAGTACATTTGCAGCATGATCCCACAATCAACTCATAGTGTGCTAGACCAGGGGTTGACAAATTATGGTCTGTGTGTCAATTCCAGCCCATGGTTTGTTTTTGTACAGCCTGCAACCTCAGAATTTTTTTATTTATTTACATTTTTAAGTGGAAGAAAGAGGGGGGGAAAAAAAAGGGAAAATGAATATGTAGCCTGCCAAGAGTAAAGTACTTACTATCTCACCTTTCACATGCACAAAATAAGTTTGATAAAAACTTTTTTCGCACAAAGTCTATACATGGGTGTGTGTACAGCCATTATTCATAAACACCCAAACTGGACACAACTCAAAGGTCCTTTTTAAAATGAAATCAAACAGAAACTGGCCTTGATGGTTCTTGAGCAGATTAAACCAGTTCAGACATCTTAATTTAGCTAATTAAATTAAGTAAGTCATTGTGAAGAAAAAACAGTCACTGCCTTTATAAGCTGCTTAGTAACAATATACCCCTGAATCTCATTCCATGTTTTGGTTTGAGTGTTCCTGGTTTGCAAACTGCCTTCTTGGTGTGTGCACAATAAATTGTTACTAATTACTACTTCAGTGATTCATTGGTTTTACTTTGACTATTTCTGAAACTTTGACATTCACAGCATCAGAAGTGGGATCCAAAGAAGGGCCCCCCCCGCCCCCGAAACCCTGTTCTGTTGTTCGGTAAGCCTCTGCTGCATCTGAGCTTTGCTCTCTTTATGTTGTGAGCTCTCCAACTTTATCACGCACACTTACTTTCTGTTTCTGTTTGTTTGTTCTGTTCTCTTTCTGTTTCTTTGCTAACGTTTCATGATAAGTCATTCGTCTTGTTAAAAAGGGGAAAGCACATGATTTTTGAAATGGCTGTTGTAAAACATAGTGAAGATGTTTTAGGGAATCCAAAGGCAAGAAAGGTTCCATTTCCTTGTCCAGGATTTTGTTTTTTTCTGAAAAAGTTGGGCATCTTTTGGATAAGTTGGAATTGTAATCATCATTCTAGGGAAACCTTGTTTTAAATGAGTCCACTTTAAGGGGCTTTCTTAAAAAGAGAGGATCTCATACTTCTAGGAGACAACATGATGCATTCTTTGCTTGGTATACAGAAACTTCTGAAAAATAAAATGACTCCAAAAATAGCTTTAAAAGCATGCAAATAAAAATATTTAGTAAAAGAGTTTGGCCATTTGAGAAGGTAACCATCTGACAGAAATACAGTTTGGATCCAACTATTTTTTTGAGTCTGACCTGAGACATAGCTAATTTTTTTTAAACTATAAGACTTCTGTTTGTGCCTATCTGTGTGTTTATGTGTGTGTATATATATTTATAGGTGCATGCTATGTTTTTACATCAGGATGGTATTATAAAAACTAACTTGTAAAGATAGCTGTTCAAGTATTTTAAAGCCAACAAGAGTTACATAAACTGGGTATACTCTTGAAAACATAGAATCCCTCTCTCTCTGTTTTGTCTATGGTCTTCAGAACAACCCTCAACATTAGTGCAACACAAGCTGAGTAAAAACAAGTTTTACCTGTTCTCTAATAACATCTCAGACACCCTCTAGGGATAGAGGAAAACTTACTTATTTTTATAAATTTTTCTATTAGAAATCTAGAGCAAACTTAATATTTAATGGCAAAATATCTGAAAACAACAGGCTATGCCTATAGCTTTTTCTTAGGATTTTTCTAAATTCCAAAGGAGTTGTGACCCTTTCACTTGTTCAAAACTTGTTTATTGATATTCTTTTCCATTATCCAGAGTCGCTGAAGAACATTTGTTCTTGGTATTATGCTAGTCTTTTATAATAATTTGAGATGCAATATCATTTTTAGATGTTCTTGGAAGGTTTCAATAAGCTACTGGTGATACAGTCTTATCTTGACACAAACACACACACACAAAGGAAATTTCAACACCAACTGTCCCTGAGTCTGAGACTCTTGTGCCTTACAAACTTGAGTAGCCACTGGGCTTATACTCACCTCTGTATCCATGGGGTTCACTGTGCTCAGGTGCCATCTCTGCCTTGTTTCCTGCCCAGACTACCCTGGGAAAGATAACACTTCTCCCAGCCTCCCATCTGCCCTCAAAACCCTTAGCGTACTACCTGAGAGTAGAGTGTATTTTACTTGCTGTTTGTGTGTTTATTAGGTCTCCTCATACCACAATAAAAATTTAAGTATGGACAACCTTGTTCTTTAGTTCACTGCTAAACTGTTCTGAAAACAGTTTCTTGAACACAGAAGTGCCTAAAAATATGTGTCGAAAGGATAAACCCTCAGAGTGTAAGAAGTGCCTAGGAGTGAGAATAAGAATTAATGGATCCAACTCAGTATGACACCATCCTAAGCGATCTAGAACAAAATCCCCTCAGAGTCTCCGATTTAGCAGTTCAGGGGTGGGGCCCAAGGACTTGCGAATTCTAGTAAATTCCCTGGTGATCCCCATGCAGCTGGTCGAGAAACCACACACTTTGATAATACTTAATGTATATGAACTTTTGGGGTTTAGTGAAGTAAATTGTTGTGTGCTTCAAACTGTGCTTTTTGAATAACAAAAAATTGTTTAAATTATTTTTTCTTGATTATTCATATAAGGCTTAACTTAAGACTTCAACTTTTATTTTCAAATAAAAATACTATATTTCATAGCCAGGGATGCAAGGACTTGGTTATTCTTGTTGGAATAGCGGCTCTTCTGTATCTGGGGAAGTCGCTCTGTATGTTAGGGACTGGGAGGCAGGGGGATTGAATTCTAAGAAGGTAAACATTTTTCTTGGAACAAACTTAATCACCAGTCACCAACAGACTGTTATCGTGGCTAGAATTCCAGAAATGGTGTATAGAAGTTTATTTTCTATTTATTCTTTGTGGATTATACCACTCTGGTTAATAGCTGGTTCTAAGTGTAATAGTTAAATTTTTAAGATCTTCATTCTTTAAATGCAATTCTTCAAGCAGGGCGGCTACAAACTATGTAAACATGAAATTCTCCTGAGAATGCTTCTGAATGCCAAGAACCAGGGTCTGTGATGACAGCAACATCATAGCATGTAAGACCCACTATGCAGGTTTGTGTTTAATATTTGTATTTGTTAATCTGAAAGTTCAGACAAGATTTTTAAGTTGTGTGTAAGTATCTCCTAATATAATCTGAAGAGGCCCCAAAAGTCCAGACAATACTTTACTCAAGTTTTCAAGTATGATGTGTTGTCTAGTCTGGTTCTGAAAACTTAAATCTCAGTGGGAAAGTGGGATCTTGCGCTTTTGAATCTTGTGATTTGGTGGTTTCTTCATTTAAAACATAACATTCTCCATAAAACTCTCTGTTTCAGTTTCTTTTCTTTTCTTTCTTTCTTTTTTAAATCCTCACCTGAGGCTATTTTGTTCCATTGCTTTTCAGAGAGAGTGGAAGGGGGAGAGAGAGAGAAACATCGATGTGAGAGAGATACATTGATTGGTTACCACCTGCACAAGCCCCGACAAGGGCCGAGGATCAAGCCTGCAACTGAGGTACATGCCCTCTGCTGGAACTGAACCAGGGCCCTTCAGTCCTCAGGCCAGCGCTCTAACCACTGAGCAAAACTGGCGAGGGCTAATGTTTCAGTTTATTTTTTTCAAGCTCTCATAACTTGGCAGTGGTTAATGGCTGTAGCTGAGGCCCTGAAAGGCAAAGACTCATCCAAGCTGTCCTGAGATTCCCAGAAGGCAGGGGAATGACTATCTAGGTCAGAGTTTATGTCGTCTTCATCAAATAATTCTTCTTTGACCAGAGGAGCTGAAGAGGGTTTCAGACACACGGAAGCATAATTCTGGCCATACAAAAAACCTCAAAGTTTCTTCTGTCTTCTTCTCAATCAAAGTCTCCTTCAGAACTTGAAGTCAGTTTGCCTTTGCAACTTGAGGACACACCTGCCCTGAACTGACCTAGAAGCTTGGTTTGATTTGGCAAATTTCCTCTTAAAATGCTCAGCACTTTTCTTACTTATGCCTACTACAGTTATTTCTGAACTACTGTATTTTTCCCCCAGAAATTTCTGAAGCTTCTAATTTTTCTCGCAAAGGACTATTTGAAGAAATCTGAATATTTACTTCTAAAGAAAGTTCACAAGCAGCAGCTTTCTCCTGATGATCTAACCGGCAATTGCCTATCTGCTCAGTAACATCTATTACTGTCTGTTCTTTGTCTTCTTGCTTGAAGTTAGTTTTCTGACCAGCTTTCTTTTTCATGAAGCTTTCCTTTCTGTGCAGCTACAGCCTTATACTCATTGCATCTGGTCTGTTTCCTGGTGGAATGGACACATCTAGACACACATTTATGAGCAATGACTGCTTCCTGGACACTAGAGGTGATGCACTAGGGAGTTAATGTCTTTGACTTTCTTGTCTTAAGGTGCCTTTATTCTACACAATAACATTAAGCATTTGAGGTAGGACCCAACCCTGAATTTCCAGGGTTGAACAAAAGACCATTATTTAGCATCATTCCCCAAGACAACTCAGCCCACCCTGAAAGCAGGATGGACCACTGGCCACTTTCTCTTCTCAGTGCTTCTGCCATGTTCTTCCTTGTCTGTATAATATCACCATCCACCCTTATTGGGAATATTTTGGTACTATTTCTGGTCACCTGCTTTGCTGTGTCTGTTTTTCTTATTACTCATGAAAATGAATAAAATAAATTTTATTAAAATTTGAGGAAATTACAACTTTCAATAAATGTCAAAAAGTTCTAGAGCGCTGATTGCTGAGCTATAGTTCTTATTGCAAGCTGAGAAGGCCACCTACAGCTCTGTGGTACTCCAAGGTTCAGCTCTCATACCTCAAATAGGAGTTCATCAGACCCCTCAGGCAGCCTATGGAGGGCACACAGGCAAGGTCACCAGAGCTGACTTGCCTCAGTTGGGTCAATACTTGTGAGGATTTCCACATTGTGTGCTGCATGTCATGGCATCCCTTCCTTCCCATCACTGAAAGAATATTCTTAGATTTAAATTCCTAATTTTTACATATGAACAGTGTTTTTCATTCTTTAAGCTTCAAATAAAAATGCCCTTTCACTCTAGGTTCTAGAAAGACCTAGAAGATTTTTTTTTTCTGTGATCTCAGAACACTTCACTCACAGCCCCATTTTATTTGGTCTCTTGTAGCTGTCATTTGTATCAATGTGTTTCTCAATTGATATTAAGCAACTTTAAATTGGACATAGGGTTTTCTCTTATTTCATCATTCCTTAATTCTACAGGATGCCATCCTGTGTTACATAATAACATGGAAGCTAGTTAAGACAGTTATGTAACTCAGTCTCACTCTAAAATCATATTAGCTGATTCTCTTGGGTTATGAATATCCAAAATTGTACCTGTCTTACTTAATCTGAAGAAAAGGAAATTAAGCTCTATTGTACAGTATGTGAAACCAATTTTGGTGCATAGATTCCATTCAACCTGGTAGACTTTTTCATTTAAGTAAAATGGAGCAAAGCTGAACGTGAAAAATTGTTTTATATTTTGATACCTATGTTACCTAGTTTTTTTCTTTTTAACAGAATATCTCTCTAACCAAGAACAGAGTCAGCTTACTCTACTATTTTTTTTAATGCATTATTCATTTCTTAATCATAAATTATTTTCTTTCTTTCTTTTTCTTGGAAAATCTTGCTGTAAACTAAGTGTCACAAAATCAGAGATATTTTAATAACATATTGAAAGGAATTGTTTTGGGCTTGAAGTGCTTAGGGAACAAGCAAATGCATCTGCCTATAATTTTCAATCAGTCACTCTATTGTTCAGAGCAGTAGATGACAGTGTAAGCACCCTGTAAAGATTTTGTTCAGAAGAGGAGAGGAAACATAAAAAACCTGAGGCTAGGGTAGGCTGACAGGCTGATTTAGTAGCACCAGAAACCTGCTGTTTTTCAGACAATGACAATGGCTCTATTATGGAATGGAACAATGGTTTTCAAAGATTTATGGTAAACACTTGCAGTAACCAAAAAAAAAATTAATAAATTGATTAAGAAAAATAAAAGACTTTCTAGCATTCTCACTTGGAGGTAGATCCTTCATTTTGGGAATATAAAAATACTCCCTGAAGTGTCTCAGCTTATCTTCCTCATCGAGACGGAGGGCGACCCTCTCATCTGTAGGATGACATTTCAGTTCAGATGCCAGGCGTTGCACTGTGTCAGCTGGTAACTCAAGAGGTAAAGGCTCCATTATAAGTTGTTCTCTAAAAGTGAAAACAAAAATTAAAAATAATTAAGCCACCATCATTTTCTGCAGAAAATTAGCCTTTTGGGTAAAACATCTTTTTTTAAAAAAAACTAAGATTCCCATCTTCCCTACTTCAGAAATAATAATTATACAAACAGCATTAAACTCCATGTCCGAGTTTTTCTCATGTATAGAATGGAAAAAATAATAGTCTCTTAGGATGTTGAAAGGATTGAATTAAATAATGGTGCTCTTAATAAGTGCTAGCTCCTTTTATTTTTATTTTCTGGGAAATGAGCCAAATGAGTGACTGTCAAACACTTTTTCTTCTAGATGCCTTACTAGAAAGTAACAGATAAAAGTTAAAGATCCTTTTGTGAAAGTGTGTGAAAACAGTGCCCCACCTAGCTTTTCCTCCTTACCCTACCTCCACTATCCCAACCCCAGCGATTCTTATAGTTTTAAAACTATGGGGATATATACAACAGAACTTTAACAAATTCTTTACTGTGAATGAAAACGATGTTGATGAAAAGGTAACTTTACTTTAAATAATATTAGTCATTTTTGGCATATGAAGACCAAAGAAATCTGCTTCCTGCTGATAGTGAGAAACTTCTCCTTCACTACCATATACATCTTTAGAACAAAGCAGGAACCTGTCATGTTTCTTGAAACCACAGTCTACTCTGTTTAATCATCACTGAACATTCCCCACCCTTTTGGAAAGAAAACAATCTTTCTAAGGAGCTAAATGAAAATGGAGATTTAAATACATATTTTAAATTTCACCCAAGTTTTATATGTTTAATATATTTCTCAAAGTTTTTGAAATTGAGTAAGAATAGTATTTGAGGGGGGGAAAAGGGTTTTTTCCTAAGGCTAGCTTGATTTACGTATGTACTCGTTTGCTGGCTTCACTTCTATATTCCTCCATTTATTTCTTCTTTCAACAAATATTTATTGAGCACCTACCATGTTGCACCATGCACTGGTTGAACAGCAATGTATAAGATAATGTATAAGTAGCGACTCTTATGGAGTTTACTTTTTAGGGGGAAGAATAAAAAAATAATTAAATTATATAATTTCAGATAGTTTCAAGATCTATGAGTAGATAGAACAGAGTAATGGGGTAGAGAGTCACTGAGGTATGGAATAGTTATTGGGGGCTCAAGTGCATCTCTTTGGGGCAGGGATAATCACTTCTGAATCATGTTATGGAGGAGACCTGAATCTGGAGGAAGATAAGAGCAAGTGCAAAGGCCCTGAGGTGGAGATGGAGACTTGGCCTGTACAACTAATACACTAAGAGAAGTAAGGGGAGGGGGAGTCTATGATTTAAGAGACACAGAGTCAGAAATTAGTCATGAAGAATAAAGACCAGAAAGGAATTTAGAAAATTTTCTAAGTTTAATGGGAAATCATTGGAATATCTTGAGTAGAAAAATAATATGATGTAATTTTACATTAAATAAAAATCACTTTTTCTGCTCTTTGATGAATTATTAGTCAAAAAAGAGAGGTAAATTAAGGCTATTTTAACAGTTCAGGGGCAAATGTCAGTAACTTAAATGTGGTGAGGGGAAAGGTAGAAAGAAATATCTGGATTTATAATATATTTTGGAGACAAAGTCTAGATAATCTATGGTAAAGACAGGAAAGTGGATAAACTTCAGCTTTGGGAGAAATACCTAAAGAAATACCTCAGGAAGAAACATTTTGAGGAGGAAAATCAGAGTTCTATTTAGGACATCTTAAGTTAGAGATAAATACTGATCATCTAGGTAAAAATATCAAGCTGGCTCTTGAATATTTAAGCTCAAGGCAAAATTGGATCACAATATATATGTTTGATATTTTTCAACTCATAGAGTGTATTTAAGGCCTAAAATGCTTAGGTACCAACTAAAACAAACGTAGATAAAGCCCTAGAATAGCAATTTAATTATCTTTCTTCTACTCCCCACTCTCCTTCCCCTTACCTACCCCAACACACAGTGTTAAGCAATAATTACATGTCTGAGTTTATACAATGCCTGTAAAATAAACATTCTTCCTGTCCTCTAAAGTTAAATTCTTCTGCATATTTGACCTCTTCCTTTCTCAACTGCCAATGATCTCCCCAATGAGCTATCCTTTATATTTCCAGATAAAGATACTGAGCTTCACCCCAGCAAGTTTTTCAGTTTTGATATCAGTAATGCCTTTCCATTGCTAAAATTCATGCTTCTATACAAAAGTCAATGATTTCACCATTGAACTTGATGATTCTTTTAATATCTGACCATACTGAATTATTATTTGTTTTCTTCGTGAAATTTTCTCTCTGTGATTTTTCTTATGCCATTTCCTTTTTCCAAAATGTTCTACTTCCCTTTGTACATACTCAGATCCCAGTCATCCTTCCATGTCCTAGCTCAAATGTGGCTTCTTCATGAGGCCTGTCATGATGTCTCAGCTAAAATAGCATTTCCTCCTCTGAACACCTCTAATACTTAAGAGCAGGCATCTTGTAATAAGTAACTCATTCTGTCAGGTACTGTATTTATTTAGATATATATGTGGATGGGAAATATCAAACATGCTTGTTGTGCTGACAACTTGATTCTAAATGAGTCTCTACCTAAATCTTTCTGATGAAAGAAACTGCCTTCTGAGTAGAGATGACTGTAACTCTACCACTTGACATTATCAATTGCCTGGTAATCATTAATTAGACCTCTCTTGGACATTTGACCCACTAAAGACAATGGTTTTGTCAATGGTCTGTGAACAATTTGCTGTGAAAGCTCTGGCCAAATACTCATGATGGTATTTAGCCGAGCATATAATCAAATTCATTCAGGAATGAGCTGTGAGATATCGTTCTTCATTCAGTCAGAAACATGAGCAAAATGTAAAAGAGTCATAGAGAGAAGCAATAAAATGGTAGAGTATAGAAGGAGTATTGTCATGAGTGAACCATTTTTCAGTCATATAGAACCAGATTGTTAAGGAATGAAGTGATTCCAGCAGTAAGAATCACTGTTAGAGAATAGCTGGAGATGGAACAGCTATGGTTCCTGAAAAGGTTACAGGACAAGTCAGTCTGGAGAGTCATTGAATCCTTCCATGCAGCAAACTATGTGGAAGGCCTGGGAGGCTGCCTGCTCTGTTGCTCTGCCTTACTATCAAGTGTGTCTTTATTACAAACCCATTACTTATGGCAGCTTGATCTAGTTGCTGGTCTAGGCTACCGAAATGTATTCTATTCTGGGAGGCCTGAATCTTGTTTAACTTATCTTTATAGTCACCCTATTGTTGAGCCTTTTAGATAGAGTGTTCCTCCAAATTGGCAGTTGAATAAGAATATACAATATAGCTGGGTAAGTTATTTGACATGACAAATGACAAGTTACTAGAGGGATACCTTCTCCCATTCCAGCTACATGGGAAATAGAGAAACACTTCCAGTAAGACTCGAATCAAGAGAGCTTGTCTTATATTTGGAACTTTCTTTGGAGTCAGCATTTCATTGGGGTTAACTCTCAACTCTAAATGGGGTTACATAAATTAATATATGGATTATTTTGTTACCATCATATTCCAGTAAAATTCAACTTTCCTTACCTAAGAAATTATTTATATTTATTCATTAGTTTCTTTATATTTGTTGCTTTATCAACCATTATACTAATACTGAGGGATCAGTTTCATTCCTTCCATTTTGGGACTAAATTCTGGAATAAACAGAAACAGAAACAGAAAGATGCTAAAGCTCACTCTATGGGACTACTTTTTGCTGAGGAGCTGAGCCAGCAGTCCTGCCCACTTCATGGCATGTGGGTGGGATGTGCAGAGCAAAATCCCTGGCTAGAGACTTGAACTTGTCACTTTATTTTTACTTGCCTCTTGCTCCTAAGGTATTTCCCCCCCTCTCACTATTTCTTCAGTCCATTCCCTTTACTTCTTGTTTCAGTCCTGTACTGTCTGCAAAGCACCACAGGCTATGAATCCATCTACTCTTTTACTCTTCTATTATTATTATATTATTATTTTATTTATTAATTTGAGAGAGAGAGAGGAAGAGGGAGAAAGAGAGAAAGAGAAATCAATTTGTTGTTCCACCTATTTATGCATTCACTGGTTGACTCTTCAATGCACCCTGACCAAAGACCGAACCTGCAACCTTGGTGTATAAGGATGATGCTCTAACCAACTTAGCTACCCCGCCAGGGCTCCATCTACACTTTTTAATCAACCCTTCCCATTCAGTGCCCATGATGCCACAGTTCCCTCACTACAAGGAAGAAGCTTATTCACTCATAATGATGTCTGCTTAATTCTGCATTCAAGCCACCAGCTAAGACAATTAGCGCTTTGCAAGACATAGTTTTATACTTTGTATAGGTTTACTTTTTGCAAGTAAATTGACATGCTGTTATTTTGAAATAAATTCAATTCAAGATAAACAAAACTCCAAATCTTGTATTTTACATATTTAGTGATAATTTTATGAAGATGGTGGGCATATACACTATGGTCTTGGGCAAGTCACCTAACCTTTTTGTGTTGCAGTGTCACATAAAACTAAATCAAATATTACTTTCTTCAGAGGATCATGATTAAAATCAAATAAAATTAGTGAAGTAAAGTACTTTATAAAGAGATAAAAGATATTCTCATAATATACTTCAATATTAATACCTTGTGATGCAAATTGCCATTTTACCTTCAACTTAGCTTCTGAAATTTTGTAAATTGTATTTTGACAATTTTATTTAGACAGCTAAAACTTCATAGCTAAAAATCTTATAATAACAAAAATTGATTGTTCCTTTGGAATCTTGGAACTCAGGATCTCCTAGTCACCCATGGGTCTAAGGTTGAACAGTTAAATAAATGATTATGAGTACTCAGTGGTTAATCTTTACACAGTTTTAAATGTCATGTCTGAAATGAGCAAATTGTACATGTGAGTTCAAAGTTTAGAACCTGGTAAAGCAAATTATAAAGGAAGTGTGTAGCTTTTCATTAAGAGGGGAAGAAAATGTTATTTAATATATGTGCATAAAGCAACAATCTTTAAGCCTATCATTGCTTGAGAAATAAGTGACATCGCTGTCATAACTGCATATTTCATATCTAGGATTATATTAATTACATTCTGATCTTCACGTTAATAAGATATTGCATTTACTCCCATTTACTACCTAAATAACACCCCACCTTTAAAAAAATGAAAGCAGGAAAGTAAAACAAACTAACAAAAATATTTTTGCTATGTAGAAAAGAGTTTTCACTTTCTATTCTTAGGCAAATACTTCATAAAGTGAAAGAGGAAGTGACCTGTTTAAGAAATAGATATTTTCATTCTCTAAATATTGAATGACTAAATAGTATCATAAGACAACTAAAGAGTTACCAGAAAACAGAGGACATAAAGCTCATTTAATGATCTGAATTTTGATCTAATTTTACCGTTTAAACTCAAATAACTACAGGATTAATTTTAATTAATCAAAAGTCCTGTCTTGTAGTAGATGAATTCAGTAAACTATCGACATGAATTATTTTTCACTACATTGACAAAGACCCCTTCACTTGATACAAAATTTTACGAGCTATAGACAGGATCTCTGGAATTTTAAAGGAATGGCAATTAGAGGAATCTATTAGTTTTATGGCTATAATTTAGAGAAAAATAGAAAAACCAGGGAAGAAGCCTCTAAAGCTTTTGACAATGATACCAGCAGAGAGAATATCCCTTATGAAAAAATTCACTGAATATATATTTGTGTACAAAATGTATACCAGTGTCTCAGTGCTTACCTGCTGGGATTTTGATGGGGTTCACAGCTCTTGATCTCCTTTAAAACAAAACAAAACAAAACAAAACAAAAAACAAAACAAAACAAAGCTCTCAAGAGTTCCTTGCAGATTTCTAGACCAGACTTCACGGTTAGAAATTCGAGTCACTTCTGCTCAGACTCCACCTTGTGGGGAATTTATGAGCTAACTTTAGTTCCTCCCACCCTATCTAATGTGATTGTAAATCTCCAGTCACGGACAAACACGTGTGAGCAAAATGCTGCTCTCACTCTGTGTTGCAAATACTAGGAACTCTGTTTTGGACTCTTGTCCCTAAGTTGCTCTGCCCTTTAGACTCCAGTAAACATTTTCTTGTCCTCAAACTACACATATCTCTCGACCTGAGAGTTATATCATATAATAAATAATCCTATAGAGCAAGTAGGGCATCCTCATTTGCATGTGAGCTGAACAGGGGAGTTTGTCCAGGAGCAAAATTCCAAAAGTGGCATCCCTCCCTTGCTTTGGGCTTTGGTAGACTAAGGACTGAAGAAAAGTTCTTTTCTAACTTTGCAGATAAGGGAAGCTTTTATTTTTGAGGCAGTACCCCACATGGCGAATTCTGTGTTGAAGGCAGAGTTTGACATTTAATGGATAAACATTGTAGTCAAAAGTTTAAAATAGGCTCTAGAATATACTTTATTGCCCATTATGTGTGTTTTAAAAACTCCTAGATCATAAATCTGGACAAGTAACAAGACAATCAAGGAAGAAAAAGTTAGAGTTTTAAGATAGTGTTAAAAGCAGTCTAAGAACTTCACTCTTTTTATGAATGTCCTTTTAGTAATAAAAACAAAGATCAAAGAGTTTTAGAGTTAAAACCAAAGAGAGTAAGTGGGCCTGAATAACTGAATCACTTTTGTATACCTAAGCCTTGTGGAGCTCCCACAACACACCAGGTGAACAGTGTTTGATTCAATCATATATACCATGTGTTTGCTATATAACCCCGGACAATTCATCTAACCTGAGTCGGGGCCCAGTATCACACCTTTCAAGTGAAGACATGAAAGTACCTTTCCTCACAAGATTACTAAGATATTAAAAAAAGCATGTAGAAAGCCAGCATACCAAGACATATAAGACAATAAGTGGCATACTCTTTATTTTTTTAAATTAAACAGACCCAAAGTACTACCCTCCCATCTCTAAGGGAGGAAGATAAAACACATGCAATTACTTTTTTTAAAATTGATTTTTCAGAGAGAGGAAGGGAGATACAGACAGACAGTGAGAAAGAGAAAGAGAGGCATTAATTGGCTTCCTCCCACAGGCCCCAGACTAGGGACAAAGCCAGCAAAATATGTGCCCTGATACCCTGACAGGTATACCAGACATCCTGGTATATGGGAGGAGGCACCAACGAATGGAGCCACACTGGCCAGGGCCACATGCAATTATTTTACTTTAATACAAGTAATTAAATAATAAAAATAAAGTATTTCATTTTATCAGCCCTATTCTTATGAAAATCCTGCGGAGTAAATACAGTATCCTCATTTGGTTAAGTTCAAAGTACAAAACTTTAAATCTAGTCAGAGTGTCTTGAAATGTGTACTTTCTTTTTCTTTTTCTTTTTTTAATGCTGCAAGGGCTTTGGAGGATTTGCCAAGTTTGATTACCCAGAAGGTGAATCTGAGGGTGGAACCTGTGTCTTTGTTGATAGAAGAATTGCATTCCTTTAATTACTGACTAATTAAAAATAGAGATAGAGAGCTACTTAACAAGTTCTTGCTTTCACATTGTTTCTTCTGAAACCTTTTGATAATGGTGTTAAAAACCATCCCATCAAAATATTATCTTTGTTATTTATTTATTTTTTTAAATATGTTTTTATTGATTTCAGAGAGAAGAAGGGAGAGGGAGACAGAGATAGAAACATCAATGATGAGAGAGCATGATTGATAGGCTGACTCTTGCATGCTCCCCTACTGAGTATCGGGCCAGTAACCGGGGCACGTTCCCCGACTGGGAATCGAACTGTGACCTCCTGGTTCAGAGGACAACGCTCCACTGCTGAGACATGCCAACCAGGCAAAACGTTATTCTGAAGAATATTTAGCATAGTCCTTTTTAAAGAACTCGCTTAGAGTTCTAAGCTATACTCCTATTTCTTATATTGGTAATTTTAAAAAATTTGCTACCTTCATAAATTCTAAAAAAAGTATTCAGCATGTTCTTTGCACTAGATACAAAGCTAAATGCTAGGGATATAATGTTGAACAGACTCTTTGTAAGATTAGCATAAGTCCCTAAAAATGTAAAGCAATTGTGAGATGGCAAAGTCATGGGGGAAGTGATGAAAGCAAAATCCACTGCGTGGCCAGCTGTGGAAGGAAAAGAAAGAAGAAGAGAGTGAGATTCCATTCCTTTTTTGGAAACAGGAAGAAGAAATATGTTGCCAGGATACGAATTCAGTTGTCTGTTAGTTTCCACACATCTCATCTGGCTCATAACATATGTCTCCAAGCAGCAATGACTGACTTTAACCCTCTCAAAACCTTGCCCATGAATAGAGCTAAATATCTGTTGAATTAGTTAATTTTTTTCAAAAAAAAAGATTCAGTTCCTTCCATCAAAATTAATGATCAGGGTTTTAGAGGAAGATCTCTTCTCCCAAAGGGTAATTTTTAAACTGTGAACTTCATGCATATGCTTCAGGGCTTATTCACTATAGATAGGCTGGTGCCTGGCCTCTGGTAGACTTCAATGGATGTTAGCTGTATTATTAAGCAAATTAAACTTAGTGTGGCAAAATATTTCTATAAGACTCTAAAGCTACAAATAGATACAACTGTGACCCTCTGTTTCTGAATGTTCCATAAGTAAAAATAAGTAAGGAAACTGTTAAATAGAAATGGGTGAAGCTTGGTGGCCAATTCAGGTCCCACGATTAAAAGTGTTTTGTAGAAGTGGAAGAAAACTACCACTTCAGAGCCAGTTGGGGAAAGATAGATGAAAAGCTGTGCTCCCAAACTTGGTTGCTGAAGGGTAGCAGAATATGCCACCCTAAAATATACTAGTAATTCAGAGCTTGCTACCGCAAACTATGCCACTTTGGTATATTATTTTGGGCTGTAGGCACTTGAAAATAGCAAATGCAGGGAGAGACCGTCTCTGAACTCTCCCAATCTTTTCAAGGCAGATCCTCCAAAAGAACCCAATTGTCATCAGTCCCCTCCCTGGGAGTTTCACAAACTAGGGAAGAATGGCTCTTATCAAGAAAAGACTTCAAATGGACACCACACACAGGCAGACTTTGTCACGAACTTCATACCTCTCACTTATACTTCAAGGGTCCATTTGTCTTTCCTAAAAACCATTTGCTCTCTCCTAAGAAGTCTTCATCCCTCCTTTTTCCTTATTAAGATGGCAATTAAGCATGAATTCTAAGTCACTTTGGTGAGTTACTCATTTTTTTCCTATCTCTTATGTATTCATGATGGACATATACATTTTAATAAACTTCTGTTTGCTTTTTCTCTTATTAATCTGTTCTTTTATTATAGGGATCCCACCTAAGAATTCAGAAGGTTAGAGAGAAATTTTTTCCCCTTCTCTATAGTGTATAGGAAATTTCACATTAATTTATTTTTTAAATTAAATAAAAACTTTTGAGGAGCTCACTTCTTGCTTTTGTGGAGGTACATTTAATCTGAGTCATTATTAGGACTCTCCTTTCTTCTTCAAGAGGACGATGAAAAGTTCCCAGGTGTTTCACCCACAGCAAAATACTCTGGGGCCAGCCTGTTGGCTTCCTTCTCTCTCTTCCCTTCTACCCCTCTCTTTTCCCCATCCTACCACCCTGCACACCAGGCACTCTTTGCCCTTCCTCTTGGGGTTAATAAATATAACGTAACATATGCTTTCTCAAAAGCCAGGTCAGGACTTTGTCATTAATCTATTTCTATTCTGAAGCTGAGGAATGCAGAATTCTCTATATATGAGCAGGGAAAAATATAAAGAACAGAACACACACATCACAAATTCTTTCTATGCTCTTCCCCCTCTCCCTTCCTTTTCCCCTTTCTCCTCTACCCTCCACTTACCTCCCTTTACCCTTTCCTTTCCTCCTTCCTCCCCTGACCCTCCTTTCCTTCCCCTTCCCTTTTTTATTTTCTCCCCCCACTAATCCTCTCCTTTTCTATCCCATTCCCTCCTCCCCATGCCTTCCTTTCAACTCTCCCTCCTTCCCTTTTCTTCTTTCTTCTTCCCCATTTCTTCCTCTCCTAACCCTTCTCTACTCTCTTCCCCTCCTCTTCTTTTACCCCCTCTTCCCTCACCTTCACTTTTCTATAGCAGGAAAAGCAAAGCAAATTAATGACAATAAATCAGTAGGCTATATTTAGGTAATCTATTCTCTCTTTCATGTGAGGTATATATTCTAGTTATTAGAAAAATTTTCCAGTAATGGACATGGACTTTCCTTTCCTCTATATGTAGTATTTTCGGTTTTTACTGAGAAAAACACAAGGGCTTATTATAAGCAATTTGCAGTTGGTGATTAAAATTCATTTAGAAACTAAAATTCCTATTACCCATTCACTTTTTCCTAGATCAGAATTTCTCTTTCACTGTCAAATTCACAGGGGTATTTAAGGCAATGTATTGCTTTCCAGCAGGAGACTGTTAATAGTTCTATTACATGATTGCATGCCAATTTTCCCAAATGTCTGATTATTTACATGAAGAATTGGAATTAACAAAATAATTTTTTTTTTCTGTGTTTAAATAGTAAGTGAATAAAAGAATCAGAGCTGAGCTACAAAGAATTTTCAAAATAACTTTGAAATAAGAAAATGCTTTTAACTTCACTGGCCCTATATCAATGGCCCAACATATCTGAATACATAAAACTTTGATTAATTAGCAAATGACCACTAAGGATTATACAACTTTCATTGTAGAGCAGGGTTTGTTTTCAGATAAACCACTTTGTAGTCATAGTTTTTTGCTTTTACTGTTTATTTAACAACAAAGATTTTTCTCAAAGTAATGCTATTACAGCTATCATCATCCTCTGGATAACTAGGGGTCCCCTAAGGTTCCTGTAAAGCAGGAAACATGGAGTAACTTGAATCTCATTGACATTGATTTTATGAC